GTTCTTGGGGGTTTTTTGGTAAAAGGGCCCCTTTTTCAGAAAACCAACCCCCCCCCCCCCCCCCTCTGAAACTGCTGGCTACGGGCCTGCTACTAAAATTACATGCACCCAGGCGTGGTCACATCACTGTGTGCAATCTGACCTCGCTGTAAGATCGATGTTTGGCTTGGTGACCGTATCGGAAATCAAATCGTTCATGATTATTGTTGTTTGGCATAGCTTTAAGCCTACTCGCCCTCTGCTTTGTGTATACGACAAAGTTGTGAAATTCACAATGGACTGTTTTTCAGAGAGAGATAAACAAGCGTTTTACAACCAGTGTTCGTTTGTCTGGCAAATTCGCTTGGTAAATGGTGTTTTTATGGTTTTTACATGAGCGTGCTTCCATCTTGACTCTCGTCGTCTCCAATGGGTGGTAGGGGGTCGACATTGTACTGAAAACGTCCAGGGCGTCCGAACCTCAACGGGCCCATTTTCGCCCGCTTTCTGATAATGGCATAAGCGTTCGCTATCCGCAATGAAGGGAAACTTTTCAAATCTTTCTTGATTTTATTCAGCGGAACGGTGCTGAAGTTGTTTTTCGTCGAAACTTGAGCGACTTGAGAGGAGTGTTCCCGCTTTTTCGCCTCTCTTCTGCCGTAGGTGCTGTCCCACGAGCTGAGCATTTTGGACGGTACGTTCAGAGGTTGGAATGGAAGCTTTATACGACCGTCGGAGAATTTGACCCTGGGGTTCTGAAAAGTCAATAAAATGTGAATAGAGATCGTTTTTACGCATGTTTTTAAAAAGATGCACGTTTAACAATAAGGGAAATGTCTTAAACATATAACTACCAAAATCACACTTTAATGTTTAACAAACAAAAATGAAAGGAAAACACAGGGATTCCATTATTTACAGCACCAAGAATGTTTTTATATCTTACCTCTTCAAATGCGATCTTCCTCTGTCCCTGTCTCAATATACTCCTATAAGGGTTGGGGGCTATGGGAGGGAGTACTGTGTGCTTATTAAGCTGACTTTCAGCCGACGAGGGACGCTTGCCAACAGCTTCCTTTTTCCTGTCAATAAGAATTTAGATTGTAATCTAGATCTAGATACAAGCAAGATTTTTTCAAACGCGTCAACATACATTTACATTTCTTATAAAGGAAAGGCCAACAGTTAATTTGAATTTGAATAACTAAATGAGAAGCGTTCATAGTGTTTGAAAATTTAAGGGTAAGTGAATATGTTGTCAAACTCAACTTTATTACAACGGATTCTGCTTTGATGACGTTTTAACAACACAATGTACAAAAATCTTTCCTCTATCCAATATCATTAAAATGTTTTCACTGTTACATTTCTACGTAATATAACGCGCAAACAAGCAAACTCGTTATATTTCCACAATAAATGATTGGCCTAGTTTTTCTTCAAAGCTAGTCTCGTGTACCTTTGGGACAGAACACTATCAGCGGAGAGCGGCAACCCTTCCCGTCTGGCCTGGCTACTGCTCCGTAACTTACTGGCCCTCCGAAGGGCAAAGTCTTGCCTGAAGGGGAAGAAAGGTTCCAACTGAGTTGAAGGAAATGGGTGGTAAAATACGTCAGAGAGAAGAAATGAGTGTTTTTATGAGCCTTTTTCACTTCTAAGAGATACCATGTTTCTTTATTTTCATGCTTCAAAATTGAGGCGTGCTTATGAGATAATTGCTGCCTTGTCAAAATTAAGAAAGAAATTTTTCTCTCTTTTAAGCATTCCCGATATCTTTTGACATCTTATATTCTATCAATTTTTTTAATCACTCGTCTTTCGCTTGTTTCTAACCTGCGTTTACTCCTAGCAGACAGAACGCTCTCGGAGCTGCTGGCCACGGACTCGCTGTCGTCGCTGCCGGAAACTACCGAACCGCTGTCCGCCGAAGACCCGCTGTCCGCCGACGATGCCCTGGTGGATGACGTCACCCACTTATCATCTTGCTGCTTTGGTTTCCTCGGGACAGCATTAAAGCCTAATGATCATTATGAAAGATAAAACACCTTAAAGAATAATATTTGTGTTGTAAGAGAAATGGTATTAAGTTAGTTAACTAATAAATACAGCAACATTTGATAATTATTATTATTATTATTAAATATAAGCCATTTTTGTGTTTACGTGTTGTAATATACAGTACCTGCCCCAGCGGCTATATATTTCTTTTCTGACGGTTGTTCCTCGGTCTCTGTGTCCGAACCCTCGCCACTGTCCGTTTCTGTGTCGGATTCGGAGCCGCTGTCTTCTTCGTCATTGGCAGCGGCCTTAGGGGCGGCTGAAATTGGCAGTCATCAGCTTCATTTAAAGTGCAGTGTAATACATATGTAATATATAAACGTTTAATTTGATTATTTCAATACGTTAATTTTCTTATTGTAAACCTCATCATCCATATGTGACAGAGCATTTTTCTACATTTTTTAAATTTAATAAAAGATATCCATTAGGTGAACCTTCAGTGAGTGGATATAGACGTAACACCGCTCTAAATTTTACGAGGTAAAGCCAGATGAACATGAATGGCCAGTGAATTTCTGCGTATACCTTTCACCGTGTCCGGTGCACCCTCGGGGCCAGATTTTTTGACCGTCTCCTCTGTCTCCGTGTCACTCCCACTATCGTCATCAGACCCCGAGTCACTGCCGCTCTCGTCATCGTCGGCTTTTGCCGAGGCTTCTTCAGTCTTAGTTTCGTTCCCTTCCTTGGCACCATCGGCTGGCTGTTGATCAGAAGAGGCGGTGGCCGTGACGTCATCACCAGCTTTAGTGGCTGTAGCGTCATCAGCAGTTTTGGTGGTTGTGACGTCATCACCATTTTTGGTGGCTGTGGCGTCATCTTCAGCTTTGGTGGCTTTGGCGTCATCACCAGTTTTTTCGCCCTCTTCTGGGGGTTTGGCCTCTGTAGGCGTGTCCTCTTTTGGGGGAACAACGAATGTTCCTTGTTTGTCCCCATCCCCTGGTTGGTCTCCGTCCGGTGGCTTTCCCGGTTCTGTTGTCTTCTCATCGTTCTTCTGTTCATCCTTTGTTGGTTCGGCGCTTTCGGCGTCTGCCTTTTCCTTTTCCGTCTTTGCTTTGTCTTCTGTTGAGTCGTCCTCATCTTCACTTTCACTTTCAGTTTCACTTCCACTGTCACTGTCATCTTTTTCACTTTTTGGTTTCTCAGTGGTGACCTCTCTAGCTGTTACAGGCTCCTCATCCTCGCTATCACTTTCGCTTTCGCTGTCACTTTCGCTTTCACTTTCTGCTTCCTTCGTGTCGGTTTTAACCTCGGTTTTGTCCTCTTCCTTTTGCTCTTTTGGATCCGATTCATTTCCTTTATTCTCTGGCTGATTTCCTTGACCGCTGTTATCGAGTGCATCGCCAGCTGTATCCTTGATCTCGGCCACATCACTGTTAGCTTCTTGGACCTCGTTTATATTATCCATCTCACTGTCTACAGGAGTGGGCTCCCTGGCATTATCCATGCCCGCCTGTTGGAATAAGGTGGGCAGTGGAGTGATAAAAGGACCATTATATTTGGGTCCAAGCTCATAAACAAAACTCTTGGCGTATTGCTTTTTCCTGTATTTATTAGCGGAAAATATAGGGTCAACAATAGGGGGTTCTTCCACAACTGGAGGCTGTGCTTCTTTCTTCTGTTGTTCTTCTGCCTCTCCTTCTTCAGCTGGCTTCACGGATGTTTTGTCTGTTTTGCGGTGAGGCGGTTTCTTTTTGATGAGAGACAGGACGTTGCTTCTGTTGGTATTTACCAAGGGAGTTTTCTTCGCCCCCAAGTTGTTTCCTTTAATGTCTGATTTTGTCTTCTTTTTGGGGTCTCTAAAATAGTTGGTAACCGATTCCATTCGCCCTTGTCTTGGACCTGGTTGGTTTTTCACCACTCCTGTTTTGTTGGCTTTCTGTTGTGGTTTCGTTTTCTCCTGCTTAGGTTCTGCTATACCTTCTTTCTCAGTTTTCTCCTCGTAAAGCTGTTCAATAACTATCGAGCCTTGGGCGGCTGGAACATGTGCTTTCTTTTCATTTTCATCAGAGTCACCTTCACCTTCACTTTCACTTTCACTTTCGCTGTCCCCACTTTCTTCACTTTCCCCGCTGCTTTCGTTTTCAGACTCCGCGTTTTCTTTGTTGTCAGTTTCTTTGATTGCATCCTCCTTTTTCTTACCTTCTTCTTGCTTGTTGTCGCTGTCTGACTTTTCAGTGGCAGAAATCTCCTCTTTATTTACATCCTCTTCGCCTTCACTTTCCCCACTACTTCCTTCGTCACTAGTGTTAATGATCTTCTGTGTAGGCGACGATACTTCTTTGCGTTTTGGCGGCTCAGATTTTGCACTGCTGACTTTGGATTCGGCCTCAGCAGCCTCACCAGAGTCTGACTCGTCGTCTTCTGAATCGGAGCTTTCTTCCCCATCATCGTCTGCAGTCTTTTGCTTTTCAGCTGTTTTCGATGCTGCTGTGGTAGTGCTGGC